ACAAAAAAATTAAACGATCTAATAATGTAAATTATTTTAAAGCATTAAGTAAAAATATTAAAAAACAGGTCAAGAGTGCTAATAATGATTTTCTGGCTAAGGTTGAGTTAAACTTTAAATCTGATCCAAAGAGTTTTTGGCATTATATTCAAAAAAGAAAAGGAGGGTCACGAATTCCAGCACATGTTTTTTGAAAATTATGTATTTGAGTGTGCTGAAGATGTAGTTAATTGTTTTGAAACTACTTTAAGAGTGTGTATGAGATTTCCAAAGGGAATATATTAAATAGAAGCAATTACTACTCAAACCATGTCCACTTGGATTGTTTTCATCATCGCCCTAATTCTTTTACAATTATTTGGAAATATTTAAGCTGTTCCTCATATGAGCTTGTTGTCATTTAGTTAATCTTCATTTGTTGTTAATTTAAGTATATTTTTGCCATTTTAGTCTAAGCTTATAATTGTAGCTTATCTTCATTTTAACGTCAGTTTAGCCTGTAGTTATTTTAATTTGCCTTTAACACGTTAAACGCCACGGCGTTATTGGTGATTTTGTTTATGGGGCCAAGTTGATATTTTACTTGTATCATTTTAAAAAATAAAATCGTCAAAATACAGATTAAAAAATAAATAATTAAAAAACTCTTGTATCTTCGTCAGCCGTCAGGGCCAAGCGGTCCTATGCATGCTTTAAAATACCTTATACGAGCGGTCCGCTGGCCAGAAAATCATGGTAAACTGTTAAACAAAAAATTGACAGGCGGTCCCTAGGGACCGCCGTGGCCTGGATGGACAAACTATTAGCGGTCCCCTGGGACCTCCGTGGCCGTTAACGTGTTAATTAAAAACTCCAACTCTTTTGACTCTTTTAGCTTGTCGTCATCGCCATAATTCTTTTACAATTGTTTGACAATATTTTAGATGGTCCTCATCTGAGCTTGTCGTCATTCAGTTGATATTAATTTCATGTTTTATTTTATCTTGTAGTTATTTTAGCTTGCCTTATTAATTTTATTTTTTGTTTAGGGAAAGGAAAATCTTTCATAGGACACCCAAAGAATAGTGTCGGATTTTTACCGATTAAACCCCTCCTCCGAATCCACTTTGCACTGGTGACCGATCTCGCATTTCTTCAGTGCGAAGGCTGTCTATTTTTTAAACTATGCTTCTAATTATTTGTTAGGTCCTCTCACTCGTATATACTTTTATTCTTAAGTAAAGCAAAATAACTACAAACTAAATAAGATTGCCTTATATAGTTTAGAATTTTTTTCAGCCCTATTAAAAAAATTGTCATTTTATATCTTATCACTTATCACACAAGGTTTTAACTGATCGTCAATTTAGACTGTCATACAGGAAGTCTAATTTACTAAAATTACATATTTTAAACAAATTTAAAATACCTATTTATACCGTAATAAAGAAATTAATATAATTACATTTTAAAAATTGTAATTTTATTAATAACCCCACACTGGACAAATAAAAAACGCATTGTTTTTAAAAAGGTTTTTGGCAACTACACTCTTTTTAATGATTTATTAGCAAAACATGAAAAATAATTAAATAATCTATAATTTTTGGTAAGCGATTGGTACGAGTGCCTGGTTGCGGACAGCATGCGGAGAATTAATATGCTACGATCGTAAAATCGAGGCGAATGACAAGCAACATGGACAGCGGTATTTTGTTAGTGACTTTTTAGACTTTTTGAATTATTAAATATGGTTTATTGTCCCGCAGATATGTTGTTCGACGTTGTATATCATTAGAATATTTTATTTCACGGCCCGAAATAAAAATTAAAAAGGAAACTTTATAATTTATTAATCAAGTTTAGTACTACAGTATTAACAAATAGATGCATGTATGTTTTATAACTAAGTATTTATAAAAAGTATATTAATATGAAAAATAGGTTTAAATATTAAGGTTATGCCAGGTAATTTTTGCAAATAAACAGTAATAATTTAAAAAATAATATTGTTTACTTATGTTTTTATATAATTTTTGTGATGGAAATTTCTAATATTTATTTTTATTTCTTTAATAATTATACATTATTTTTTATTAATTATAATTATAAATTATACAGGGTGCACCAAGTATCATTTCATGTAGTGGTATTTTTTTATTTGAAGAGCTACAAGGTTGGTTAAATTAAAGAAGAGTTGCGTAATTACAAGTCTTAAGTCTTAAAATGGCATTTAAAAATTTTAAAAAAATCAGCAGTTCTTAAATTATTTAAAAAACTTAAAACCTGTAAAAACCAAAAAACGTTATTACTGGAAATTTTGAAAAAAGTACATTTATCTACATTTTTATCCAAATTGTGATTTTTTGTTGCCTACTAGATTGTGTTACCACTACCATCTTTTGTTTTTCCTATGGCCTCCATATTGAATCCAACGATGTATGGAACATACCCTAAAAATGCGGAGATGATAAGGAAAATCCCAAATTAATGTATATATACATTAATTTGGGATTTTCTTTATCATGTCCGCATACCATATATGGTATAGTAATTAGTAGTAAGAATTAGGTACTGTCGTTTTACTGCCAAATAATATATCTGATTGTAACTCGAGTTACCATTTAATGTCCTGTATCAATTGATGTTTAAACTACATAACTTTTTTAGCGAAGAAATTGGATGAAAATGTAGATAAATATTTCTGTTCACATTTAAAATTCCCAGAAATAACGAAGTATATTAAGAACCGCTGGATTTTTTTCCATTTTATTGGAATTGTAAGATTTCTCTTATTTAACCGACCTTGTAGCTCTTCAAATAAAAAATATATACATAGAAGTATAATACACATAGATGCACCCTGTATTGGCTTTAGGCTATGGGCTGATATTGTTTACACTCAGGCCTAGAAAACGAACACTTTAAAATAGTTAGGCACAGCACGATTTTTTTCAGATATCTCTTTGAGATGATTTCTTTATAATATTTTTTCTTGCCAACATTTTTAGAATAATGTCGAATTATAATTATAAATAATAATTATTAATATTGCGATTTAGGGATTTATTCTGCAGCTAGAAGTACAAAAGTCAGTCACTAGCAAAAAAGAAAATTTACTTGAACAACATGCTAACTGACATTTCAATAATAAGGACAAAATACGCAAATAGAATATAGTATTTTTAGAACATTATATTATAGTGTTACCAAATTTGTAAAAAATCACCCATCCGTTTTCGTATCGTAATTATGATACAGAAGTAGAAAACATATTTTTATTATTTTTGCTAAATAAATATTTTTGAATTTGATGTAAATAAATGATCAAGTTTTAAAAAATAATAACCTTGTTATTGTTTAAATCTGTTTATTTCATTTTAGTTTTATTATATTCCAAAAATAAACATATACATACAGAGTAATTTTTAAATCTGTTTATTTTATTTTAGTTTTATTATATAACAAAAAATAAACATATGTATACATACAGAGTAATTTTTAAACATACTGCAAAAAATACATGGGGTTATTTTAAGAATATTTGGTACAGAGGGGGACAGGAAATTTTGAATTCCAAAAGTTACTTATCTTTTCGTTGAAATCAAAACATAAAACTGCCTTTATAAACAACTAAGCTCACTTCAGGTTATAACTATTCCTGTCATCTTGATAGCGAAAGCAAATATAATCATTGTCATTTTAAATAAAAGTAGATCCAGCTCGCATTGTATCAGTGGTAGTAGTTAAGTTGACTCTTATTACAAAATAAGTATCAAATTTATTCACTAACAGCATACTTTATTTGAATATGTCTAGTGAATCACCAGTAGAGATTGATCATTTTATATCTGTCGAATTTGTTGAGACTTTTGATATTAATGTGCTATATGAATCGCTATACGAACGCCGATATAACTGACATTCATTTCATATATGAACTTGCTGATGGCAACTCATTACAAGCTAGGTGGTTGTACATTAAACAATTTCCTGGCCGTAATAGTAGAAGTGGAAGAGTATGTACTGAAGAAAGTAGAGGAAGTTCTAGAAAAATTGCAAATTAAATGTAGCTATTGGAACTGTTGGTAATATTCTGAGCGACAATTTGTTGCACCCATACCACATACAACGAGTTCAGGCACTTATTCCTATTGATTTTCCAATAGGTATTGCATTTTGTCAATGGCTTTTGCACACATTGGTTTAAATCCCTTAACTACTGATGCTGATTCTTTTTACCGATGAAGCAAATTTATCTAGACAAACAATATGGAATATTTACAATAACCATTTATGGAAACGGGAAAATCTACATGAGGTACTTAAAGATCGTTTTCCACGTTTAAGTTGGAATTGAGGGTTATTGTCTAATTGGACCGGTATTTCTACCAGAAAGACTTACCCGCGAGAGGTGTTTAACAACTTTTTGAAATACTTCTACCAGAAAGACTTACCCGTATAACAACTTTTTGAAATACACACTACCTCATTTTTTAAAGAATGTAAAATTGGCAACAATAAATGCAATTTGGTTTATGCACGATGGTGCACAAGCCCATATTAGTGTGTGTTTTTAATAGTAGCATACGAAGAACGCTGATGGTTGAGGTGAACCTCTCTTATAGCTTGCTCGATCCCCGGACTTAATCCCCCGGATTATTTCCTATGGGGCAATCTAAACTTATTATACTACCCCAGTCTAAAATTTGGAAGATTTAAGAAATCGGATTTATACTGGAATTATTGCTAGCTAAACAGTTCTTGTAGATTAAGAAATTTTACATGTAGTTTTTTTAATTAAAATGTTTTTTTTGCGCTGTATCTTCGAAACAAAGCGGCTTTTCAAAAACCATCGGAGTACAAAATACTCTTAAACCAAATCAGGGAATTGCTCCTTGAATTTTTGCTGTATGTGTAATAAGCACTCTGTATATACATAATATAATATAATATTTAAATAGTCGTATAATCTAAAAAACCTCATACTTAATCAAACATTACTCAAACGTATATTCAAAATGGATAAATGTACTTTGAAGAGAAAAAATCCAAATACAATTCAAAAATTATCAAAAGAATCTATTAAAATAATACAAGAATGTAAGTACTTAAATTATAATTTGTAAGAAAATTAATTAATTAATAACATTTTAGCTGGAATTGCCGATTACATAGAAATTGATAAGTTGGTTCACATTGGGCCCAAAAAGTACGTTAATGGTAATTTTTATGAAAAATACAAAGATGAAATTTATAATTTTACAATTAATGAAAACGATGTATGGATAATTACCACTGGAAGATCAGGTTTAGTTTAAAACATTTTTTGCAATAGTACAATTTAGAAATTATTTATTAGGAACAACTGTAACTCAAGAAATGGTGTGGCAGATTTGTAATGATATGGACTTCGAAGGTGGATTTAAAACTCCTTTAATTGAAAGATTTCCTTACTTTGAGTAATATTTCTCCAAACAATTAAAAGTCTATTAAAACTCATTATTTTTAGATATGCTTTAATGTTTGGTCATAGAAAAGAATTACTTTTAAAGAAATCTTCAAATGATCCAAAAGAGTGTGCATCCATAGAGACAATTTTTACCCCAGAATGGGAAAAACCTAAAGTCTCAAATCAAAGATTTTACAAATCTCACCTGCCAATATCCCTACTACCTATGGAGTTAACCCAAAAAGCTAAAGTAAAAAAAAAATAATTTAAAATAAATATTAATAGGTAATTCTTTTTTAAGATTGTATATATGGCTAGAAACCCTAAGGACATGGCGATCTCTTTTTACCATTTTCTCAAACAATACGGAAAAGAACCCCCAAACTTCGAAAATTACTGGAATCTTTGGGAAACAGGCTTGAGTAAGAAGTTAACCAAGGTACTAAAAAAGGTTCTTTGCCGATTTTGCGTTTAAAAGTTAATTAGTTTATTCCTAAAATAGATATAGTTCCTTAATTACATTTTAAAATTTTAAAATAATTAAAAAAATAGATTAAAACTCAGGCCCATACAAAAATTGTGAAATTTATGGTGATTGTGCTGTAACAGAAAATGCAGCCTATGAGTTATTATAGTTTTATCATTTTCGTATGTTTTATAGCAAAGATGCTTTGGTTGATCAATCATACACAATCAATAAAGCAAAATGTTTATTACAAAAATGATTTGAGACATTTGCAAATGGCTTAATACAAAAAGAAGCCAGATTTTCGGGTGCCATATACTATGTTTATAACTAAAATTGATAGAGCTTGAGTTTTAACGTATCCTCCTAAATCCCAAATCTTGGACCATTAGACTATCTGTGTTTCAGTCTATGCAAAATTCTCTTTGGTTTAAAAAAATAAAACTTTAATAAAACGTTCACTTTTTTTTTCTTAATGTCTTAATTAATGGCTTTACCCTAAAAATGGCATCGATCAAAATGAAACAAATTTAAAATTTATTTAATATTTCTGCATACAAATCGGCGAGGACTCTTTAGAGTACGCAATATTTCTTTAATTACAATTCTGTTTTAGTGATCGGTCATCCCTACTTAGAGCATGTTCTTGAGGCCTGGAATCTAAGAAACCAGGACAACGTTCTATTTTTATTCTATGAGGATTTTGTTAAGGTAGTTTAATTATTTAATTGACTTATACTTTAAAATTAACACCATTATAGGATAACAGAGCGGTTATCCTTAAACTCTGCAAATTCTTTGGAAAAAACTACACTGTCAAACAAATAGATAAATTAGTGGATCATATAAAAATAGAAAACTTCAAACAAAATACCAGTGTTAATAGAGACTACTTTGACTATACTCCACCATTGGTAGAAAATTTTATTAGGCAAGGCAAGGTGGGCTCATACAAGGAAGAATTATTCACCAAAGAGCTAAATGAAAAAGCAAATAATTGGATAAAGGAATTGTACAAGAAAACTGACTTTAGATTTCCACATGCTGCAATGAAATAATATTTAATATTTGATATTGATAACCCTTAAACAGTTTTAATTATTATAACAATGTCCAAATATAGTTTTTTATAGTTGATGTATTCTTATTTTGGCTGTTGAACTTGTCCGGCTAAACTGGTTAGCAAAGCTTAGACAGTTAAATATTCCTCGGCTTAGCCAGCCTATTTGGCTAAGGGGTTAGGTTCATCGGGGTTAGGTTCATCAGCTAATTTTCGCTTGATTAATTTGACCAGTATGTATTTACTATAGTATTTTATTATACAAGTGAAAAGTGGTAGTTGTTAATAAAGAATACATTTTTTTAAATTCAATAATGTTTATTAACCTTTTTCTTCGAAAACATGAGTAAACTACTAGTCATCTACATTGTTACCGCAGATTGTCCTCTCCGTTATACTTGCCACATTATTTTTTATATTTTAAAAGTTTCTTTACATATAAACTAATAGTTTTTTACAACTTAGTCTATAAAATATCCCTTAGGACCAATAAAAAATCGATAACTGCTGACAGTTCTGAAGCTATCTTACCTGACTTTATACTTTTAATAATTGTTATTATAATTGAAATACGTTGTGTGTATCGTTTATCAAATAAAACTGCCTTGAAGATAAAATGTTGCATGCTATTCGCCTGAGACGTGTCTTTTTGTGCTTCACTTAATTTGAGCTCAGCACAAAAAGACTTACTTCTCAACCTTATGACATAAATAACTATTATTTTTAATCAGTCTATAATTCAAGCTTTATTGTTGTCAACACTATCTACTTAAGAGATTGATTATGGCCTAGGCACTTAAAAATGATTTAAAACAATCAAGTTACGTTGAACCAATCAAAAAATTTGACTTTTGTCAGATCGATCTAACCTCACTTTTAATAAATTTAGGTTTTATGTATCGTTTAAAAAATAAAATTAAGCCTTAAAGATAAAATGTTGTATGCCATTTGGTCTAGAAGTGTTTTTTTGTACTTCACTGAATTGTAGGCTTTCTTTGAGCTTAGCACAAAAACTAATCAGCCAATTTCTCTACTACCTTATGATTTTACACAAAAATCTAAATAAGAACTAAAGCAGTAATAAAACATCATTATTAATATTATATTATTTAAGGTTGTCTATAAAATATCACCATATATGGTGATCACTTTTTAAGGGTTATGGAAATAAGCCTATTGAAATTTATGGGAAAAAAACTTAAGTAGAAAGTTAACCAAAATATATTTTAATATTACAATTATTTTTTTTGTTAACTATAAATTTTTTAGCAAAGCCTACTCTAACGATCAAATATATAAATTGGTTCCATTTAAACTTTTTTTAAATAATGCCAGTATTAATATTTTCCCCATTTGGTAGAAAATTTTATATCCTTATATACAAGTTTGGCCCGGTTTCCACGCCGGTTTTCTCAGGAGTTACGTTAAAAAACAAAACCCTCGCACACGTACTTTTTTATTTTAGGGTACATTTTTTATATATTTTTAACCCCTTCACAAAGTCGTCCCATATTAATTCTCATTAACTTTTGAATCAATTGTTTATTCAAAAATATATGCTCAAGTTAAAAATCTGCTATCACCACATCAACAAGGCTTTATGAAAAAAAGATTGATTACGTTCAATCTTCCCAGTTTCACACAGTTTGCCAGTAAAATAATTGATAATCGCGAGCAGTTTTCACCTGTATATTGATTTCTAAAAAGCATTCGATTAAATCGATCACTCAATTTTGATTAAAACTTTGGATTTGATAACACTCTTGTTTATCTTTTAACATCTTATTTAACAACAGATTGGCGGCTGGAATTTAAGGAATCAAGACAACTCAGTATTTTTTTCTTTGAAACTTTTATTAAAGTAATATAACAATAAATTGACCACCAATAGTCTAAAATGAATAATATTTTATGATAGCAGAGCTGTTATCCTTAAACTCAGCAAATTCTTTAATAAGACTTACATGGTTGAACAAATAAATAAATTGGTTGATCATTCAAAAATAGAAAACTTTAAAAATAATCCCAGTGTTAACAGAGATTATTCTGACTTTTCTCTTCAATTAGAATAAAAATGTATAAGGGAGGGCAAGGTGGGAGCTTACACCAACGAATTATTTACCAAAGAACTAAATAAAATGGCAAATAATTGGATAAAAAAGTTCTACAAGAATAGACTAGATTTTCACATGCTGAAATAAAATAAATATTTTTTGTATTGCAAATTTTGCTATTAGTGCATAAATATATAAACTTTTGGTGTCAAGCTTTTTTAATTTATTATAAAAAATAGTAAATAAAGCGCTTATATTATAGCCGAGATCAGTGTTTGCTGCCGAGGTTTCTGCTCTGTGTTGTTTACTATTGTGTTTTTAAAGCGGTTAATAATTCTGTATTACATTGGAATTCTTCAGCTTGCGACATTTTGTAATAGGTATATCTATAGATATTGTTGAAGTTTGACATTATAGGTTATGTGTATGAATTTATTCTATAGTTAAATGTAATTTTATTTTGTTTAGTGTATATTTTGATGAAAATATTATTGTGAAACAAGATTGTTACTATATTATAAATTAAGCAATAAGAAGCTTTAGTTTAAATAAATAAACACCATTATATAAAAATGCTGAATAATTTTACTACAAATACCAAATATTGTTATAGGATTATTTATAATAAAGTTTTAATCCTGTAAATAATAAGTCTAAGTAAATTACGTAAATAAATATTTGCAGGGACGGATTTAGACTTGATGAAGCCCTAAGCTATTTGAGATAATTTTTTATTAAAAATGACTATTTCCCTCGTCTTAATTTCCACCAATCACAAACGCGCAATTTTGAATTACAAATGGTTTCTAGGTGAAAAAACTGTGTGACAGAACCTGTCAGCAGTTTATTCGAGTTTACCCGCGGCAAAACTTGACAGCTGTTGTCACCAAAAATTGCAATTTATATTTTAATTGTTAACTGTTAAGCTTTATTCAGAACCTCGAAATTAGTGGAAAAAATTAGTGCTTTCAATTATACTTATAATTAACACAAAACGATAATTTACAATGCGCAAAATTAAGATCTAAAATTAAGGAAATTTGCTAAAAGATTGCCCATTCTTCTTAACCTGACACAAACAAAATTAATTATATTAAAATAATATTTTTTACAACCATTACAATAATATTTATATAACTTTTACTTCACTGGCAAATCTTCAAACTTTTTGCTTTTGACATGCGCACAAGCGCAAAGCCGCTTTCCAATTATAATTAGTGGTAAAAGTTAGAAGTTTGCAAACTTTTTCCACTAATTGAAAAGTACTACCACTAATTTTTTGGTTGTGAACAACACTGTGTATATTCATAAGACAAAATTTTACGTTAATTGAAACCACTAATTTATTCCACTAATTACGAGGTTCTGAATGAGGCTTTACTCATGAAATAGTCTTGTCAAATAGGTACCATTCGGGCATCTAATTTTTCCTGTGAAAAAAATCGAAAAAACACAATGCAGAGTAATATTTTTTAACAAAATGCATTCGTGCAGGTGCAAAAATCCTCCTCTTCGACTCGGATTTTTGTTGCCACCAGCACTCATGCTTTTTGTTAAAATATTACTTAGCAACGTGTTTTTTCGATTCTTTTCGGAAAAATTAAATGCCCTTATGATATTACTTATGATTATAATCATTTTTAATAAAAAATTATCTAAACACTAATAATTATTAGTTTTAGCGTATACGTAATGCTAAAGAAATTATGTGAAGATTAAGGGGAGTTCTTTAGAGGCTATGATTCTTTGATGTAAATTAAAATATTTGTAATATTACATTGGGTTAATTAAACAGATACAGCGCCTTGAACATGATAATAAGAAATAAAATGATATTTTCTGTTATGGCTCGGATTATGCATAATGGTAATGTATCGAAAAAAATAGTTTGTATATGGTTTGCTCGTTTACGTTATAAAAATTGTGGTCAACAATCACGGACAATCATATATGTACAACCAACTGTTTATATAAAAACATTTGGTATAGGTACACACTGATACAAATTTAAAAAGCTTGATTATAATGCATCCAGTATATGGCCCTAACCTTGCACCATCAGACTAATTGTTTGGTCAAAACTCCATCAATGGTAAAAAATGGTTTTAAACAAAAGGGGTACTCTTAGCTATAGCTATATATAGCTTGTGTGGCTTATACTTAAATCCGGCACTGGTTATTGATACTCCCTACTATTAGATTAGGAATTTTTATCTGAACGAAGTATTTAAATGTGTAAATGTTTTATGTTCTATTATATTGTATTACAAATTTCTGTAGGATGGTGCCCAATAAAGAGTTTAGAAAAAGTCCTTTTAACGTTTATCCACTGTCAGAGGAAGAAAAGGATTTAATCACAAAAGGTATTGATAAAATAAAAACATATAAAAAAATAAATAGTAACAGTCCCACACAATATTTTATTCAACTACCACAAGGAATTTAGCTAATTTTATTTAATATTTTATTACATCTGACAACTGTCAAGCAGTTTTAACCTCACTTTCATCAGTTTTAACTTAAATGCTATTTCACAAGATTACAAAATTATACAATCAGGGAATATATTATTTCGTTCACTCTGCAGAGCCAAAAAAACATATATCTTGCGGGTGTTGAATAATTAATATTTTATATTAGGTCTGAAAATTAATTAATACATTTTTTGTCTTGTTAAATTCCAACAA